AATTGCAAATCTTTGAATTTCAAAATTGTGATTCTTTAAACTCAAATTGTGAATCTTTAACATTTTGAGATTTTGTTGTAAAGTTGAACTCAAACATATTAAGTGTCTATGTCTTTGCATAATTCCTATTCCATAAAAATTGTGCAAAAAATAATAATTGTAGACACCCCATTTTATCCGGGATTATTCGGACTGCTATTAAGCCTAAGTTAGTTTGAATTGGGCTTTAGACCCAACCTATTTGGATTTGGATTTAGCATTTGAGTTTTAGGCATAGATTATATGTTAAATCATATCAAACCATTTGTAATTGTTTTGTTTCTATTAGTCTTTTGCAGGAAAATAAATAAAAAGAATAAAAAAAATAAATCAAATGATAAGATTCTGTGTTAGAAATTTGGAGTATTGGATTAAATTTTTGAAATTCCCATGCTTTTTTTAAAACTCAAAATTCAGATTATAAAGGATAGGATACTCTTTTTTTTTTTTTTTTTGAATTGAAATCCTATCATCATCATCATGTTATTTAAACCCTTGTTCAAGAATCAAGAAACACACAAAGTGAAAAATACGAAAAAAATAAAAATTAAAACCTAAATGAATTAGAGTGAAAAATACAAAGAAAAACCCAACAATTACTAGTACCTCCATCACCATTGTCATTCTTTTCTCCACCATACTACCCACTATCACAAGCACTACAGAGTTCTTAATCTACCACAGCATTGCCAAATAGTTCATCCTTTAGCCACGGCCACCAAGCCTTCAACCGTGCATGGTTGTCATTCCCAACCACAACCTTTAATAGCCTCAATCCAAAACCCACCTCCTCCAACAATCAAACAGAGAGAAAATCACAAAAAAGAGTCTAGCATAAAACACAAACAGAGAAAAAGCCATTAGCCAAAATCCATCACCACTAAACTATCTAATCCTATCACCACTAAAATTGCCCTGCAGCTCAATCACTATATTCAATATCACAAAATTACAACTATCCTACACCACTTGCAAACCTATCATCCTAGAATCAAGATATTGCATAATAATCATACAAAATCCAGCAAACTCAGCTTTAAGCAAGATATAAGCCCAAACACCCACTAGCAAAAATCAATCACCTAAGTAATACCTAAAGCCTAAAATACCCAAAACCCAATAGACAATCAAAAGCAACAATCAACCTAAAATCAATCATAATAAGTAGCAAAAAAAGTAATGGTAGTTGTAACTCACATCGATGAAGGTGATGACGATCAAAGAGTAGGGTTTTAGGTATAAAATTTTTTACTAAAATTTTGAGGGTGGAGAAAGCAAAAAGCAAAAAACTAAAAAGGGGGTGGTAGTGGCGACTTGATGCAACAACGGTGGTGATGATGCCCTAAAATCTAAAAAAATCCCATCAGTCTTCTTAAGGTTTTAGTTTCTTAGTTAATTCTTTAGAGAAAAATAGATAGAAAAGAGATTATAGAAAAAAATGAAAAAGAAAAACTTGAAATTAGGGCATTAATGTTTTCCCAAACATAGTGTCTTAGATTACTAGAAAAAAATTGAGTTGTCAAGCCTCATTCACTCTTGTAGCCAAGCTTTTTTTAGCCAAGCTGAGCTAAGATTTTTTAGTATTTTCTTTATGTTATTTTGCTTATATACTTAATTACTTTTTTTGGTAAATCTTTGTTCTAAAAATAATAAAAATAAAAATAATTTCAAAATTTTGAAAAAAGTTAAAGAATCAATTTTCTTTAAACATAAAAATTTTCAAAAAAAGTTTTGAGGAAAAGTTGAAGTATCAATTTTCTTTAAGTAAGAAAGTTTTAAGAAAAAATTGAAAGTATCAAATTTTGTTGAATAAAAAACATAAATAAGGGTGTTTTAAATAAAAGTTGAAAGTATCAATTTTTTTCAAATAAAAATAATAAAAAATGATGTTTTAAGGAAAAATTAAAAGTATCAATTTTTTTTAAATAAAAATAATAAACAATGGCATTTTAAGGAAAAGTTGAAAGTATTATTTTAAAAAAAAATCTTTCCAATTTCAAAAAATACATTTGGGTAAAAAGTTGACAGTATTAATTTTTGCTTAAATAAAAGCATTAATTTTTTTAAATAAAATAAGAAAAAAAATCTTAGGAAAATTTGAAGTATTAATTTTTTCTTGAAATTTTTTAAATGTTAAATAATCTGATGATGAAGCCTCTACAAGAGAAACAATAGTTTTCTTGTATATTTTTTAGGTGAGAAAATTCTCTTAATGTTTTTTCAAAAGTATTGGAGTCAATTAAAAATAATTTTTAATAATTAATTATTTGACAAGTTTTTTCAAAGGCTTAATAGATACTACGGAATAAAGCTAGTACCATCCTTTGATAGACATTATAAAGGTGCTATAATTTTTTTCACATACAATCATACTCCTGAACCTAGTTTTAGTTTTATAGACATTGAAACTACCTTTTAAAAATACTTGAGTCAAACTTAAAATTTCTCTTTAAAACGAAATAAATTTAATTAGGTGACCAACCATACCTAAACAAAAATGATTGGTAGCGACTCCTAAAGTATATGTCTAACAATAGGTCATTGATCTATATGTCGTGACATATATTATTCTTTATGTATTTGTATTAAATATATAGTTACAAAAATTATTTTTATCTAAATATTACAACTCTTAATTTAAAAAAAAATTACAATTCTTTAATTTGTGTTTACTTATTATAAATGATTTTTTATTTAAATGAATAAATTTGTCTAACATTATATTTTCAAAAATATGAAAATTTAAGTTTAATATATATGCAAATATTATAAAAACTAAAATCGACTTAAGAAATATCCAATTGTGATTTTTTTAATCATTTTTTTTACTATATGCATGCTTATTTTATTTGAAAATTGTTACATACTAGAATAATTAATATGATTAGTTTAAATACTTTTTCATTTTTCATAATGTAATAATACTACATAAAAAAGTAGAAGGTTTCAATTTATCATATCAAAGTCTTGACTTTATTGTTTCAAAATTTAATGTTTTATTTAAAATATATATATTTTTCTGAATTTTTCACTTTAATTCTTTAAATAGTAAATATGATAAAATAATGTATTAATATTGTAAAAAATAATAATAAATTTATTCTATAAAAAATATTTTAATGATTTATAATTAAAAATCGTGAGATCAATTGTTTAATATATCTATTTTGTTACATATATATATATATATACATATTAGCATACTTATAATTTTATGTTTTATTATTTTATATTTATATTTATTTTTTATTATTAATAAATTTGATATATTTTTAAAAAATTATTATAAAATATTACTTTGACCTCGTTAAATTTGAACGTCAAAATTCATCATTATTTACTTTGGATTAATCTAGAAGCTTGGCCCTCCATCAATTTAGAATTATAACTTGGCTCCCATTAATTTATATCTTGGTCCCGTGAATTTTGTATCATTATATTTATACTAATCTAATTTTATTTAATATGCCTTTAACTGTTAGTTATTTCATTTAACCTTAATTTCACTTAATTCAATCCAAAAATTAATCAATTACAATGGCCTATTTTTTTTTTTTTTTACAAAAATTTTTAGATTTTGTTCAATACATCCGTTTTTTGGATAGATTCAAGCAAATTAAAGTACGTTGAACTTAATAAATTCATGAAAAAATACTTTTTTTCACAATCTACCAACAGATTCGAACCCAAACAATTAAAAGAAACACACTCTTTTTGCTATTTAAACCAAATATCCAATGAAACTAAGTTATTTATACAATAAAAAAAAATTCAAACAATCTAAATTTCTAATCGTCTAAACTCCTAATCAATATGTGGCCAAAAAACCCTCCTAATCAGTCTTTCTAGTCCGTAAGCCATAATGCAATTTTTATTGTTTAACATTAAAATTTAAAAACCTAAAGTAAAGCAATTTCCATCCGTTTAGGATTAGAGTTAGAGTGAGTGGTAAGTCTAAGAAGACAATGGTACTAAGAAATCAAAATATTTAAAAATATATATATTGATAATTACAATGTGATAAAAGAAAAAAAAAAAAAGAGTGAACTTCAAATAATATTGATGTATATAATGATACAAATATAATATACTTTATCTAATCATTTAAAAAATGTGAACAAAGTATGATGCAAATGAATAATTTGATAATGTAAACAATAATTAATACATTTTGTATAATAGAAATATTAATTATTAATAAAAATAAATATTTTTAAAACATAAAAATATATCAATTAGTAAGTATGTTCATGATATAAATTATATGGTTTATAAATAATCACTTTCAATATTTTTACTTTTTTATTTTAGCTTTTTTTATTAATAAAACTATCATTATTGATAGAATTGTTATTAACAAAATATAATTATATTGATAGTAACATATATTAAAATTTGCAAACTAATATAATGTTTTCAAAAAAATTTTGATAGATAATATTTTTAACAAATTAAAACTTATTTAAATAAAAAAGTTTGCTCTTAAAACCCACTATAACAAGTAAGTAAAATAGTAGTGATTCATTGTTTTCGATCCCCCTTTTATGAATATTTTGCCTTCGCTTGCGAAACAAGTATTTGTTTGACTATGATATTTTAATTATCACATAAAAATCGAATAATTATGCTTACATCTCATTCGCTCATAAACAATTGCTCTATGAAACAATCGAACTTGAACACAGTTTCTTGCCTACAATTTCGATGTAAACATGATACCATGTAGACCTATTTTCTTCGCTTGAGTAGATTACAATAGCATCATTTAAAGGTTTAAAGATTCCAAGAATCTCATGTCAAACTATCATATAAATATATATATATATATATATGTTCCCCTAGTTCTGGTATACTGTATATCACATGCATTGACCGACCAAGTTTAGCAATTTCGCTACGGTTTCAGGGCGAAAACGTGTGGGTTTAAAGACGGAGACCCTTCTCGCAAATCACTATTTTCAACTTGGGAAAAGTCTAATTTTAATCACCCAAAAAAAAAACAAAAAGCCCTTCATTCTTCACAACGAACCTTCCAAAGAAATTACCAAAAAGAATTAAGTAGTTTTTATGTTAAAATAAGGAAAAGAATGTTACTCCAAAATTCATTCTCACTTTCTTCTACCCACCTAACACATATATAAGACTTAAGAGCAGTTCATTTAACAAAGATATTGCCCCAGGTGCATGCTTCTGAGTCAACTCTGCGCAGCCGGTGCTAAGTTTGGCCATGGATGTCGTTCAGATAGCCTATACAAAACACGAGATTGCCCCGGCAGTACCCCCATGGCTAAACAAAGGAGACAATGCATGGCAAATAACAGCATCGACTCTGGTAGGGATTCAAAGCATGCCTGCGCTTGTGATCCTCTACGCGAGTATTGTCAAGAAGAAATGGGCAGTGAATTCAGCCTTTATGGCTCTTTATGCCTTTGCTGCAGTCCTTATTTGTTGGGTCCTTTTATGCTACCGCATGGCCTTTGGTGACGAACTCCTCCCTTTTTGGGGTAAGGGTGCACCGGCTTTAGGCCAAAATTACCTTGTTGGCCGAGCCAAGGTCCCAGAGAGTACGCACAGGGTCACCGATGGTGACTATGAGACCACCGAACCTTTTTATCCAATGGCTTCGCTTGTATATTTTCAATTCACTTTTGCTGCTATTACTCTTATTTTGCTCGCCGGTTCTGTTCTTGGCCGCATGAATATTAAGGCCTGGATGGCTTTTGTGCCTCTATGGCTTATATTCTCCTATACTGTTGGAGCTTTTAGTCTCTGGGGTGGAGGCTTTCTCTATCACTGGGGTGTCATCGATTACTCTGGCGGATACGTTATTCACCTCTCCTCTGGGATCGCCGGTCTCACAGCCGCATACTGGGTAACATAAATCACCGTTCTTTTATTATCAAATTTCAAGGTTTATAGTTTCATACCTGTGTTCTTACAATTATATACAATATGACACAGGTTGGACCAAGGCTAAAGAGCGACAGAGAAAGGTTTCCACCAAACAATGTTTTGCTTATGCTTGCCGGTGCAGGGTTGTTGTGGATGGGATGGTCAGGGTTCAATGGAGGAGCACCATATGCTGCAAATATTAACTCTTCAATAGCAGTACTCAACACAAATGTTTGTGCAGCAACAAGCCTTCTTGTCTGGACATCTCTTGATGTTGTGTTCTTTGGGAAGCCTTCCGTAATTGGAGCTGTTCAGGGAATGATGACAGGGCTTGTTTGCATCACTCCAGGAGCAGGTTCGTAATTTAACAAAAAAAGAAAGTAAAAAAAAGAAAACGAGAATTTGGAGAATTATAGGGCAATTTTGCAGCAATCAATCCAATTTAGAACTTCAAACTTTTTGTTTTGTTCCAGGCTTGGTGCAATCATGGGCTGCTATAATTATGGGAATGCTTTCTGGCAGTATTCCATGGGTATCCATGATGATCCTTCACAAGAAATGCAGTTGGCTACAAAAGGTGCGTGACCGTACAACTTTTGTCCTCTTTTTTTGTTTCTTCTGTTTTGGTAAGTGCGTGGCTCCCATTCTAGATTTGAGGCTTGACTAACAGTTGGCTTAGTTTGATTTTTCTCATCACTTTTTCCACATTGAATGTGTATAAAGTTTGACCCCCAAAACATTAGATGGTCTAGAAGGATAGGTAGGTGATTTTAAGAGCACTAGTGGCAAAATGTCCGAAGTCATTGACTTTAGGATGCCTAAGGTTTAAGTTTGTGGCCAGGCCACATACCAGGCTAGAAGATCAAATTCTGAACCAACCGTCTCCTCAACTTGCAAACCTGCATGCTTGACCATCAATTAGGCTTCACTTTTTGTCAAAAAGATGCTAGTACGAGTTAATTGCTAAAATGATTGGTGTATGAATTCTCCTTTGCTGTTGGTCATCCGTATAAAAGAGGTTTAAGCTGATTAATGAGTTCATTTTTAATCCCATGTAAAATATGAACCACCAGCTAGCTAATACATAATTCATTAATTCTGATGCTCGTTGTCTTTCCTGTCTTTTCCATTATGCTTGAAACAATAAATATAACAATGTCAAAGTAATATATCATAATAAACTTACAATAATATATAATAATCAATAATCAATAATACAAAAAAAAATAAAGCACATTAAGATTTACGTGAAAAGCTCTTCAATGTAAAAAAAAAATTAAGGACTACTAGAAAAATTTTTACTATCAAATAATGAATATACAAAGTGCTTTTCTAGCTAAAACTAGAGCTAATCAATAACTAAAGAGAGACAATTGGATAAATCTCACCAACTAGGTGACTCAATAAATATACACTGGATTTATTCTTAGAGAGCTTCAAACCTGATCTTTACCTTTCAAAATGTAGAATTTTGAATCATAAATCTGCTGATAAAATTTCAACTCAATCGGACCATGATCGACTTCCGTTCTACCAACTCTCCCTTCTCTCTTTTTTCTCTATTTTTTTAGCTTTTTTTCTTTCTTTTCTTGATTTGTGACACCATATTAAAACAGTCTCATATCATTTTATTAAGTAGCTAAAGATCTGTGTAAAAAGAAAAACCAAAGCCTATGGCCTTTGATTAATCCAAACCCAATTACATGGGGCTGGATCTCATTTCCTAACAATCTCTCCCTCCAGCCCTATTTGAAGGATATTTATCACCATAGCAGTTTTATTTGAAACTTACCATGGCCAAAAAACCCATTCTGACTAAATTATTGTAGAGCTTAAGCTTCTCCTTAAGAAGTGTCTTAGTCAACATATTTGTTAAATTCTCATAAGTATGGACTTTCTTCAACAACATTTATTGTTCTTCAATCACTGAACGTAACCAGTGATATCTAACATTAATGTGCTTTGTTTTAGCATGGTACATGACATTCATACTCAAATTTAAAGCACTCTAGCTATCATAAAGCACTACATACTCTTTCTAATTCAACCTCAATTCAAGAAGAAAACATTTCATCCAAAGCATTTCTTTACCTGCTTTGGTTGCTGCAATATACTTAGCCTCTGTAGTTGAGAAAGCAACATCTTCTACAACTTAGATTGCTATGACACAACTCCTCTTGCAAAAGTGAACAAATACCCTGAAGTAGATTTCTTACCATCAAGATCACCTGTCATGCCAACATCAGTAAACCTTTCTAGAACTAGTTGTGAAACTCCATAACTCAAACACATTTTTAAGGTGCCCCCAAATATCTAAAAATCATTTCACTGCTTCCTAGTAAACCTTTCTCAGATTAGAAAGAAATCTACTCACTATACCAACTGCATTAGTAATGTCTGGCCATGTACAAATCATAAGATACATTAAAGAACCGATTACAGAAGAATAAAAAATACTAGACTTAGCTAGTTGCTCTTTCTTAGACACCGGACAAGATTTTTTACTCAGATGAAAATAGTTGGCAAGTCGAATGCTAACTAATTTAGTATGTTGCATGTTGAATCTACAAGCACCCATTCAACATATTTTTCTTGTGACAACTATAAGTTTTCAACTCTCCTATCCCGGATAATGTTCATACCAAGAATTTACTTTACTAGACCTAAATCATTCATATCAAAGGACTTAGACAATTGTTCTTTCAACCTGTAAATCATACCAGCATTTTGTCATACAATCAACATATCATCAACATATAATAAGAGAATAATGAAGTTACCATTAAAAAAATTTTTGATATACACACAAGGATTCGTTGCCGTTCTTTTATAGCTGTGGTTCACCATAAAAGAATCAAACTTTTTGTACCACTATCGCGGAGCTTGTTTTAAGCCATACAAACTTTTTTTCAATTTGTAAACTAAGTGCTCTTTCCCTTTTACTTCAAAACCCTTAGGCTGATTCATATAACTGTCCTCCTGCAAGTCACCATACAAGAATGAAGTCTTGACATCAAATTGCTCAAGCTCAAGATTCAAACTAGTTGTAATCCCAGTATCACTCAAATGAAACTCATCTTTACAACTAGAGAAAAGATCTCATCAAAATTGATGCTCAATTTTTTAGAAAACTTTTCACCACCAATCGAGCTTTGTACCTTACTAGTTTGTCACCATCTTTTTTCAATTTAAACGCACATTTATTTTTCAATGGCCTCTTCCCTTTCAAAAATTTAACAAGATCATAAGTACTATTTTTTTGCAATGACTTCATTTTTTTTTCATTGCTTTTAACTAGTACTGTCTATCTGGAGTAGCTTGCACATCTTAAAAGCTCTCTGACTTTCCTTCACTGGTAACTAATATAAAATCTAAACTTGGATACCTGATAGATGGCCTATGCTCTCTAGTAGATCTTCTAAGCTAAGACTGTACATCACTTAATGCCAAAGGTAGCTCATCTTGCTCAACACTCTCTAGTGGAAAAGATTGCTCCTCTTGCCCAAAATTGATTATATCTGGCTCATCACTAATTATGACTGGCTCATTCATATCCTCAAGTTCTGTTTCTTACTCATTTTCACCATCTGTGACTTTTTCTTATAGAACTATTGTCAGTATTGAAACATTACACTTAATAGTAACTCGTGTAGTTTTTTCATTTTTTTCAAGGTCTACTATAGTTTTTTCTTCATAAAAGATCACATTTTTACTTTCGATTATCTTTCTCTTCACTGGATCTTATACCCTATAGCCAAATTTCTCATCACTATATCCTATAAACACACACTGTGTAGGTTTACTATCAAGCTTTGACCTCTATTCTTTTGATACATACATGAATGCTTTATATATGAAAACTTTCAAGTAAGAGTATAAAGCATCTTTCTCTATCCACACTCTTTCTGGAATGTCAAAGCCTAAAGAAACTAACGGTGATCTATTAAGTAAATAACAAGCTGTGTTGACTGTTTCACCCTAGAATGGCTTTCGTAATTTTGTCATCCTCAACATGCATCTAACTTTTTCTATAATGGTGTAGTTCATCCTTTTAGATACACCATTATGTTGTAGTGTTCAAGGTTCTATCATCTTATGCCCGATCACATGCTTTAAACAGTACTCTTCAAAGTCTTTGAATGTATATTCCCTATCATTATCAGTCCAAATACACTTCAAGGGTAACCCTATCATCATTTTCACCATGGCATGAAATTTTTTAAAATACTATAATACCTGGCTTTTATTTTTCAATATATACACTTAAGTCTTACGTGAAGCATCATCAATAAAAGTAACAAAATACCTGTTATCACCTAATGACTCAACTTCAATAGGATCACATATGTCAAAATAAATTAATTCCAATCTATTTTCTTTTCTTTAAGAACTTTTATAAAAAAAAAACTCCATGATGCTTATCAAACAAACAATGATCACATGAATCGAGAGACACACTTTTAGTCAAGAGAATGAGATACTGCCTTACCAAAACTTGTAACCATTTTTCACTCATGTGTACCAACCTTTTATGCCACAAGTTTGCTAAAGCATCATCCTCAATGGTATTTATTTAGTTGTTGTTCAATTGCATCTATGTCTTATATATTGTGTAGCATAATTTTCCCTTGCAACTACCATAAATCCTTTGAGAAGCTTTCACTGCGTATTTTTTTGTCGACTCTCATATCCCTCTTTATCAAGGATATTAATAGCAAGCAAGTTCATTCTCATATCTGAAATGTGTCTGGCATCCCTTAAAGTCAACATGTAGCCTATACTAGTTTATACAATAATATCACAAGTCCTAACAATCTGTGACACATTCTTGTTTTTCATCTTGATGTAACCAAAGTCTCATACTTTGTAAGTTGTAAACAACTATCTCTTAAGAACACAATGATATATCGCTCTTGTGTCAACTATCCACTTAATGCCAGGATCACCAACATGATTACAATCACCTTGTGTATAAATCAAAGTAACTGAATCACTATCTCAATTCACTACTGTAATATTACCATCATCTAAACTCTTGCCTTTCTCATCTTTCTGCTCTTGCTTCAAGATTTTATAGTATCGTTTTATATAACCTACTTCGCCATAATGAAAACACTTCATTTTATCTTTGGACTTGAATCTATGTTTAGACTTACTATAACATTTTGAGTTCTGACCTCTGTTGATGTTTTTACCCTTGTTCTCTGTGACCAAAGCTTGATTCTTAGGGTCTATATCTTTTCGCCTTGCTTCTTCATTAAGCATATTATCTTTTACCATCTCCAATGTCATCTTATAATTAGGAGCTGAATCAAGAACAGTCACAACTAGAGTATTTCAGTTGTCTAGCAATGAACCCAAAAGAAATAATATCTTTATTTTATTATCCATCTTAAGCTCCACAGTAGTCATCCGATTAAATATATCTTGAAAATCACTCAAGTGCTCTGTAATAGATCGTCCATCCCTATACTATAAAGTTACAAGCTTTTTAACAAATATAACTTTATTCATACTTGTTTTTCTCTCATACAATGCTGTCAATTTTTCTCAAATAATGTGGGCATCTACCTCCTACGCTACATAATGAAATATGTTGATATCAACCCATTTTCTAATTATAGCCAGCGTCTTTCTGCCTAACTTTTTTTTAATTTTCATCTTTTATATCTGCTACTTTAGTCGAATCACCCAATATTAGCTCATACAAATCTTTACAGTATAAATGATCTTCTATCATAGGCTTTCAAATTGAATAATTTGATGCTATTAATTTTATCATAGAACCTGAATCACTTTTCATGATTTCAAACAGAATTTACTTCTATCTTGGGTTACTTTTGTATCGTTGTCTCAAAATAACCTTCGCTCTGATACCACTTGTTGGGCCTGAAGCAATAAACACAATAGCGCAGAAGCAATATATCGCAATAAACCCACAACAATAGACAACAATCAATAATCAATAATGCAGGAAAAATAAAATACATCAAGATTTACGTGAAAAACCCTCCAGTGTAGAGAAAAAAAATCACGAAACATCAAAAAAATTTTCACTATCAAATAATAAATATACAAAGTTCTTATCTAGCTAAAACTAGAGCTAATCAACAATTAGAAAGAGACAATTGAAGAAATCTCACCAAATAGGTGACTCAACAAATACACAATGGATTTATTCCTATAAAGCTTCAAACCCGATCTTTACCGTTCATAATGTAAAACTTTGAATCATAAACCTATTGACAAAATTTAAGCTTAATCAAACTACGGATCGATTTTCGTTCTACCAACTCTCCCTTTTCCCTTTTCTCTCTATTTATTTAGGTTTTCTTCTTTCTTTTCTTGGTTCACCACCTTAAAACAACCTCACCTCATTTTTATTTTCTTGGTTCACCACCTTAAAACAACCCCATCTCATTTTATTAAGTAGTTAGGTCTCTATGTAAGAAAAAAGATCAAAATCTATGACTTTTGATTAATCCAAACCCAATTACATGAGACTAGACCCATTTTCCTAACATTTTCTCTTTGCTTAAATTCATCGTTTGTCGAAAGAAAACGATCAGGTTCGCTCCACTTTTTGGAAATTTAACACCCAGTCACGTTCAGTGATGGAATTTATGACTTATGAGCATTTGTAATCATGTTTCCAATCTTGATTCTTGAATTGCCAGAGCTGAGAATTCTTGACCATTATCTACGGGTTAAAAAAAAAAGACCCTATATAAAAATATTGACGTCCACCCTTGATTAAAAGATCCCATTGGAGTTTCCTGTTAAGTGAGATTTGATCTTTTACTTTGTCTATTTCCCACGTTTGAAATCCCTGTTAATTCTTCCTTTAATAAATTCAGAAGATAGAGCTATCCTTTTGTTTTATTTTTAAAAAAATTGCTTAGTCCAAACAAGAATTGCCAATTCAATTTGGTACATAAATACAAATAACCATTGGTACAAGGCTTGTAACAAAATGAATTCTAGTTGAATAATTAATTTCATACCACAATGTTGAGGTCATCCAAATTTACTGGGATGTTTTCGATGGAATAATCAAGGCCTAAAATTCTTCTGAAATACTAGTACTGTTTTTTCGTATGTTTTGAAATATGAACTTAACTATTTTGTGCTTTTATTTGACTGCAGGTAGATGATACTCTTGGTGTATTTCACACGCATGCTGTGGCTGGCATGTTGGGCGGCCTCCTCACTGGGCTATTGGCAGAGCCAGACCTCTGCAGGCTCATACTACCAATCGACACAAGGGGTGCATTTTATGGTGGCAATGGAGGAGTGCAATTCTTGAAGCAAATGGTAGCAGCCTTGTTTGTTATTGCTTGGAATGTAGCGTCCACAACAATAATTCTTCTAGTAATAAGGCTGTACATACCATTAAGGATGCCCGATAACCAGCTTGAGATTGGAGATGATGCCGTCCATGGGGAAGAAGCTTATGCTCTTTGGGGTGATGGAGAAAAATATGACCCAAGAAAGCACGGTTGGCATACGCCTCCATACTCAGGGATGACAGCGCCTTCACCTTATGTGAATGGTGCAAGAGGAGTAACCATCAGTCTGTAGCTACATGCAAACATGAATAAAATAGAAATATTTGCTTTAAATATGATTTTCTTGGTGTGAGATTGCTTTATCAGAAGTAGAGGTCCCAAGCTCCTGGCTTCTTGAATTTTGAGAATGGAGACCATTGCCAGTGTGGTCTGCTAGTATTAAAGTACCCTGCAAAGGGGATTGTTTCTGTTTTGATCTCAGCATTATTGTTCTTTAGTCGTGTGTTTAATTAGTTGAATCACTGTAAGGCATTAGTTGAAGCTTCGAACAAACCTATCATGGCGAATGTTCAACCAAAATTTGTTCAATCCATACAGCAGAGACAAAAGATTGGCAAGCATGAAATATTACCCGACCTTGACCGCAGCAGAAAAAGTGGATTTTTTTTTTTTTGGGGGGGGGGGGGTGATGGCAGGGGGAGAAAAACAACAGCAAAGAACCAAGTTCATCACCTATTGGATTCCTTTCTCACCGAAAAATCTCTAAACAATTTCCTATTCCTCTTGAAGAATATCTATTATCTATCGGTGGCTGAAACCATTTTTTTTTTTAAGCAAACGATTTTAGAAGTAAGATTTCACTGGCTAGCAATTATAAATGAAAAGAAAGTTAAAAGTGGTAGAAGATTGCCTTAAATTAAAACAACTGATATAGATACCTAAGCAATGACTTTAACGATCTAAGTTCAAGCATGCCCTGTGTCACGGGCTAAGCTTTCTCTTAACGAAACAATAAATCATGCGGCATTTGGATAGATGCTTTCACATAAGTCAACCAAGAATAATTCAATATCTAAATAGGCAACCAACTAGCCATAAATTAATCTCAAGAATACACAACAATATATTGAGGCATAATGGGAGCACACCAAGGCGACCCCCAACATTCCTATAAAAAAAAGTGTTTTATTAATATCAAGAATAGTACAAGTACAAAAGGAGCATTGAGTCTTCCCACCATCATCGAGGCTAGAGGGATAACCTTATATGGGTGGTCTAGCACGTACCTTAACTAGAGAGGCAGCCAACAACATGCCAACTGCTCACCCCCCTTTAAATAGCTTAAGAGATATGCTACCAAGAAGCATTACAATGTTCGAAATGAGAACACTTTTTCCCAGCACATGAGCTCTACCCTCCCCTTTGACACCTCTACCCAGTCATGGCCTTATACATGGGTGGCTTATAACATTTTATGCCTAATCATGACCTTATACAAGGTTGGCTCATGACATCCTCCCCCACCTATTCTATCGACACACTCATCAACTTGTTGGCCTAGAATTCTTCAATCTTCTGGTTGAATGCTCAGAGGTCATAGTCTATCTCCTAACTGGTTTCTTTTGGTCCTAAGCTCTCCCACTTCATTAGATATTCATGGACTATTTTCGAGATAGTCGGGATATCATGTTAACTAAAATCTCTTCAACTCGATGTTTGATAGCGATTTCATGGTAATGATAACCCTGGTTGATTCACTGCGACTTGCATCTATGAGGTATGTATGATAAGGCTTGAAATTACTCACATGGAACACTAGATACACCTTCATCCATTTTGATGGATCGATTTTATAAGAGGCATTCCCCACTTTGGAAAGGATCTTCACTAGACCCTTATACTTACGCACCAACCTATGATCTTGTTTTTTTAATAACCTGGTTTGTTTAGGCACTAGTTTGACAAGAACAATATTACCAACTTTGAATTGTTATGCCCTTCAGTCTTTGTTTGCCCATTTTTACATGCACTTTGATGCCTTTTCTAAGTATGCTTACGTAATTTTTGTGTTTTATCTCCATTCTTTGCTAAGGTTGAAGGCTCACAGATTTTTTCTTCAATATGGCTCAAGGGATATATGCGGTAGTCTTGGTAGTTGTCCAATGACCACTTCAAATGGACTCTTGTTTGAGAACGAACACTTGTTGGAATTAAAACAAAGCTAAGCTACAATGAAGGTCAATTCTTTTGATTAGCTTGAATAAAGTGTCTTAAGTACTCATCCAACAACCCATTGAATCATTAGTCTGACCATCAATTTACAGGTGATAACTTGAAGAAATGTTAAGTTGGGATCCCAAGATCTTGAAAAGTTCTGTTTAGAATAACCCATTGAATCTCGGACCCCTGTCATTGACAATAGTTTTAGGAAGGCTCTAATACTTGATTACATATTTAAATATTAGTCATGCCATATCTTTCATGGTACAATACTTTTGGGTTAGAATGAATGTGGCATATTTCAAAAATCAATCAATCACCACCAGAATAGACCTAAGATCCCTAACCTTAGGAAGGCCTGATATAAGCTCAATGGAGATACTTTTCAAAGGTCTTGTGGGCACAAAAAGTGGTTCAAACATGCCTGTCAGTTTTTTGTTTTCAACTTTGTCTTGTTGGTAAATGAGGCAAGTTTTCATATAATCCGTCACATCTTGCTGCATGTGAGTTCAATAATAACCTTATTTCAGTAAAGCTAAAGTACATTGCCAACCAGGGTGACCCACTCACAGTGTGTTGTGGCATCCTTTCATTAACATCTATCTCAAACCTCTGACTTTTGGCATAAACAACCAAGGACCTTTTATCAATAAAACCTTATTTTCCTACCAAAAGTACTTAGACTTCCCTTCTTCTACTACATTTAGGATGGCATTGGCTTATGGGTCTTTCTTTAGATTATCTTCAATTAGCTTACGAATATCTGTCATGACTTTATTAGCCATCATCAGGGTGACTCTTTTGAGGGCAACCAACTCTATCCGTCTACTTAATGCATTTGCCACTTGATTGGTTATTCTAGTTGTGTGCTCAAAACAAAATTCAAATTTGGCTAGAAACTCCTGCCATCTAGCTTGCTTAGCTGTGAACCTTGGCTAGGTAAGAAAATGACTAACCTAGCATTGTCTATCTTAACCATAAATTATGAACCCAACAAATAATGCTACCATGCTCTTAAACAATGGATTTCTGTCAATAGCTCTTTTTCTTGAACCATATATCTCCTTTTAGCTTAGCTCAACTTTCAACTTTCAAATGCTATTAGATGTCATTCTTGTAAAAAGCTCTCCCTTAATAGCAAAATTAGATGTATCTATTTGAACTTCAAAAGGCTTTCCAATGTCAGAGAGAGCCAAAATAGGGTCTTTCATCATGGCTTCTTTCAAGCTTTTAAAAACCTTTTGACATTTATTTGCCTAACACCATTTATGCTCCTTTTTCAATAACTCCACGAGAGCCATGATTTTACGAGAGTATCCCTCTACAAATCTTTTATAATAGTTAGCCAATCCTAAAAATGAGTGAAGTTCACTGACATTCTTCAGTGTTGCCTATTTTTTGATAGCCTTATTTTTTTTCATGTCCTTTCGAATATGGCTTTCTTCAATAATATGGCCTAAGAAGTGAATCCATGTTTAAGCAAATGCACATTTCTCTCTTTTAACATATAGCTAATGGTCTTTTAGTCTTTAAAACACAAGACGTATGTGCTCTTAATGCTCTTCCAAGGTAGAACTATAGACCACTATATCATCTAAATAGATAAGCATAAATTTTTTAAAATAGTCATGGAACACCTTATTCATCAAGGTACAAAATGTGACAGGGGCATTAATTAATCCAAAAGGCATAACAAGAAATTCATATTCACCATACCGTATTACACAAATGGTTTTTGGCTTATCTCTTTCAGCGATTCTGACCTGATAATAGTTAGATCTCAAGTCTAATTTAAAGAAGTACTTAGCCTGGCTTAGTTGATCAAACAAATCCACAATAAGAAGAATAGGATATTTGTTTCTCATAGTGACTTTGTTCAAGGTCTTGTAGTCCACACATAACTACAAACTTTCATCATGATTTTTGTGAAATAGCACTAGTGCCCTAAATGATACTTTCAATGGTCTAATGAATCTGGTTTGTAATAGCTCATCTAATTATTTTTTCAATTCAACTAGCTCTGGTGGAGCCATTCAAAATGGGCCTTTAGTTGACGGATTAACTCTCAAGTGAAACTCAATCTTATGGTTCACTGATCTTTGAGGAGGTAGGATCTTGGGCTACTATTCTTGTATCACTTTCTCAAACTCTTCCAATATTTTTGTACCATATTGGGTACCAGTTTCGACTCAATCCCATCTTTGGAAACCTATATGGCCATATAAGAAGGCTCCTCTCTCCTTACCCCTTGAATTATAATACTAAAATCATTTTTCCCACTCTTAAGGAAGATTATGGTCGACACAACACACAAGCATCCCTCTAAGAACAATAGACAACTCTAGCAGCAGGGATTGGGATCGCTTGAGCTAACATCATGAAATCTAATCTTATGACAACATCAAAGTCATCCATAAGGAAAATTGTGAAGTCTACATCTTCTTCCCATGGACCCAACTTGGTCATCACACTTTTAAAGCTTTCACTGATAGTAAAGGCTGGTAAGTTAATCGCTTTCATTTGCCCATAGTCTTTATTAACCTTAAAAGCACACTTTGTTGCTTTTCTGGTGTGATAAAGGTATCGGTTGCACCCGTATCTACCATAGTCTTTGTGATTTTACCATTGAGTACTAGATCCACCTATATCAGACCAATCCTAGGTTTTTTCTTTATCATATTTAGTTGGGTATGGAGGGTACTAAAAAACCATATTGAGCTTATTTTTACTAGTTCCTTCTCAACTTTTTTAATAGTTTTAGATGTTTTAGAGGACTCTTGAAAAGAGGCTTTCAGGGCATTAAAGGCACCTTTATGTGGACATTTGGTCACCTGATGTAGCCCTCAGCATAGGAAGCAAGCTAGCAATTGCTTCAGCTTGAAATTTGATGCATTGTTTGCCTTAGGTTAGGTATTGTCTCAATCAAAAGGCCTTCTATCTAATCCCACATTCAAAGGTCAGTCCATTTTGGCCATCTTTCTCTCATTCCCAAAGTTGGAGTTATTGCTACCTGATAAAGGGTTTTTTCGTTCTGAAAGGCCATCATTATAGTCATTAAGATGTTCAGTAGTAGCCATGGCCATGGCCATATCTTGCACTTTTTGTCTTTGTAATTTCATCATAGCCCAAGGTTTGAGGCCCTCAAGGAAATAGAAGATCTTGTCTTTTTCAAACATGTCTTTAATGTCCAACATAAGGGCAGAAAAGCTCATCACAAACTCTCGTACCATTCTTGGTTGCACCAATTCTTAAAGCTTTTTTTGAGCCATATATTCCATATTCTTAAGGAAGAATTGGTTTTTTAACTCTTGCTTAAAATTCGCCTAAGTTTTAATAGGGCATTCATCATTTACAAATTTTGAACGCCACCACAGCTTAGCATCCCTAGTAAGGTACATTGAAGCCATTATAACCTTATCCTTCTTTGATTCTATGTGCACAGCTCGAAAGTATTATTCTATGTCAAATAGAAAGTTCTCAAACTCTTTGGCATCTCTTGCCTCCTCATAACATCATAGCTCTGGCACCTTGACCAGTTTTCCTTTTTTCATTGAGCTAGAACTCGACCTGGCCACAACCATTTGTAGCATACTCACTTGGGCTCTGAGCTCCTCAAACTCTTTTTAGATGACGTTCAAGGCATCTCTGATCTCATCATCCAAACTATATAGAGTATCGGACAACTCCCACTGGACTGTCTCGATCTCCCTCAATCAATCAAAAATTACCACATGAGCTTTCAGGGCAACCATCGAGGCCTCAAGCTCCTCAATCATATGTCAGTCATCAAATTCACTACTCGTAGCCATTATCAATTCTCTAGCACTTTTCAACCGTGTTTTGATATCACATATCACGAGCTAAGCTTTCTTTCGATGAAGCAATAGATTGTGCGGCACTTGGATGGATACTTTTCACATAAGTCAGCTAAGGATAGTTCAATATCTGAATAGGCAACCAACAAGTCATAAGTTAATCTCAAGAATGCACAACAATATATAGGGGCATAATAAGAGTATACCAAGACAACCCCTGATGTTCTTGTAAAAAAAAAAAAGTATTTTATTTATATCAAAAATAATACAACAAGTATAAAAAGAGTTTCGAGTCTTTCCCCTATCGTTGGGACTAAAAAGGCATCCTTAAATGGGTGGTTTAACACATATCTTAACCAATATGATAACCTAACAATATGTTGACTGCTCACCTCCTCTAAAGAACTTAAAAGATTTTACAATTATACTATCAAAAACTATTATAATATTTGAAATTGAGATACTTTTTTCTAACATATAAGTCCTACCATTCTCTTGGCACCTCTTCCCAATCATAGTCTTGGACATGGGTGATTTTTCGGGGCCCTCATACGTACTCAGTCTTTTCAAAATTCTCCATCGCTTTAACCCCATTTATATAAGCCCATAAAAATTGCTCAACAAAAGGCTCAACAAAAGGATATATTAAAGTGTGTTGTATTGGATTGAAAGACTGCCAGTTGACTTTGCTTTCTTTATTCTTCCTAAATTGGAAGAAATTTCTCTTTTAGCCATTAATAGGCTTAATCATCGGCAAGTCCTTCTTAATACACAACTTGCTTCGACGTGTCCGTGGAACTGAAAAAGATGAATAATTTGATAATTTCTTTCACTTTTCTCCGCGGTTCCATTCTTAACCTTCACAAACTGTAAGATTAAGCTCCTAGAGCATACCGAACGATAATAACACAGAGAAGCAAAAGTCGTGTCCACATACCGCTTAAGCAACCATTTCTAAGGGTAGAATACATGTTACATGATCCTTGTTTTGTATGCAAAATTCTCCACATGAAAACTGAGTATCTCCAAGATACTTTGAAAATGGTATTAGAGTCTAGTTAACAGCGTGACTGTCAATAATGGAATAATTCTTAAGGCAATAATACATTATAAAACCATGCAATTTAAATATTATATTATATCCCAACCATTAAGAATCCAGTTGTCTTTCAAGCAAAAGATAATTTCCCTTGGCTTGAAAAGTAAATGCCGCAACCAAAAACCATTACAAAGGAGCCCTGCATGATACATATATATTATGTTCCACAGATAAGTTTTATTATAGGCCAAATAATGGGGCAAATATTAACTAATCAAACTGTTCCCAATCCTGCTTAATGTCTGTTGAAGATGACATAGGTGAAGGGGCAGTTAAACTTCCCATTCCAGAGTCAAATGTCTCCCATTTTGTTGTCACGGACACAGCTTTGCTACTGTTGCTAAAAGGATTGGAATTTCTTGCCTTCAATTTGTCCAGTGTCTCGTGGAAGTTTTGGACACGACGCACCTGATCAAGGGAACAATTAGTTGATACAACAGCATACTGCATACTCATTGGCTAGAAACAGATTTTAAAATTTTGTAAAAGCTTGAAACATGATCCCACAAGAGATTATACATTACCTAATCTAAAAATTGCATAAAATCCTTTCCTTCGAGCACAAAGCAAAAGTTGATGCTATGCTAGACTTGTGCATCAAGACTACATTACCATGATTATGTCTACATGCTTATGTGTTACTGTCACACACCTATTCTCTTGTCATGTCAGAGTTAACATGCTGGAGAACAAGATTATAGTGCAAACTATCCTTCAAGGAGGGGGATCTATCATGGATTTGCTGGTGTTTACTCATTATAGGAAGCGGCAAGTTCCAGCATCACCTGCAGCAGAAGGACTTTGAAGGACAAATAGCAGTATTCTCCTTACAACAGGTGTCAACATCAAGGCCATACATGACGTTCCCAAAAGAGAAGACTATGGGAAGCAGGGACTGGGATGTCTTCCATTGACTCAGAAATTTGATTGAATAACAATTGCTGTCCTATATTTCTCATGTAGAGTAGTCCTTGACAGGCATTAAAATGCAATAACTTAAGACTTACTAGCCATATGCCCAACAAAGAAATAAGGAAAAAAGGATTCAGGTTGCAACACATTTGCAAGACCTAATCATTCAATCCAAATAGCTAAGAACTCTAAATGGCCATCACATTTCAAAATCCTTTCTGACAATATATGATAAAGGTAATGGGCAACAAACAACTTACCTTAGATAAAAGGGTATAAACACACATTGATACTCATCCATAATTACTATAGTTGACCAATCTCAAAAACTTGGTTTAAGTAGCCATTGGTTAAGATATATTTATATTGAAAATGATGCAATAAATGAGTACAAAAAAAAAATGATGCAATAAATGAACAGTGTCCAAAAACAAAATTTAGTAAAACTCAATGCCTACAGTACCAACCTCAGCCTTCCTCTGTAACTTTGCTTCTCCTTCGGCCTCAATCCCATCCAATTTCAGCAGCTCTCTCATGAGTAACTCTGCCGATACATCAAATTCCTCAGCTGCAACCTTTGTCCCACTGTTCACAGCCACTTCTAATGCAGCCACCTATCCAAATGAACAAAAAAAAGAAAGAGAAAAATCAAATTAAGTCTCAATGGAGTATTGGAGTATAGTCTTCACCGTCCATACTAATAAACACAACAAACTGACAAACTCACTCTTTCAGAAAGCTTGTCAACCTCTTTTCTGACTCCAGCAACTGCTGCAAAAGCCGTTGACATTTCTTTAGTTTCCTTCATCTCTTCAACCTTATTCTCTTTGCTATCTGTCGTCTCTTCAACCTTCTCTTTGCTACTCATCATTTCCTCAACGTTCTTCTCTTTGCTTGCAGGATTTTCAAGAAGTAAAACCTTCGATTTATCCTTCACACCAGCAGAGTTCAAATGCTCCTTGTCCTCTTTCTCTTTGCCTCTAAACAATACTCTTTGTTTATCACATTCCAAACCAGTTTTTTGAGCAATTTCCATCTTCAATTCCCCTGCCATCAGCCGATGAAGACAACAACACATATCAATTTCAACCAGCACAATAAATTACAGTTAATAACAGGAAAATACAGCTCTTTTACCAAACAAACAAACAAGTTAAACTTTTGAGAAATGTTAAAGATTTGGTGACCAGAACACAAAAATCTAGAAGTTAAAAATTGCAATAAATAGATAAATTTTACAGAAAGATCAAACAATCATATGATAACTAATTCTTCAGCTCAAACAAAATTAAGAATCCGTTTAGGAACATAATAAATGAAGACAAAAACAATAAAAAATAGGAATATAATAGAGTAATACCAGAAGACGGCTTAGGAGTGGAAGCCCCAAGACCCATATGAAAGGCATAAACAAACGACAAAAACCTTAATTACTCTTCATTCTTTATCGACAACAATAGCTCAAATTAACGCCCACAGCTTCAATTAACAAGCGCATGCATGAAACCAATAATTACCCAAAAAAATTTTCTTTTTTTTGGTTTGTTTTAATTTGAGGCAGTAAAGAATTAAGAAGGTACAGGGAAATTACCGAAAGTAGAATGGGCGGGGACAAAGAGCTCGTGCTGGGCCGGGCCATGAGCGACGTTGATTTTGATAATTGGCCCGCCAGAGGAAGCAGCAGAAGTTTCGTGATTGTGTTTGTGATGAAGATCATCGTCATCATCTTCCTGGTCGTCTCTCCGCTGGACCAGCATGCCCCCTGGCCTCACCTCCCAATCGGTTTCTTCGCTTTTGGCGTTGGGATTTTTCATTTGGAGAAAGCGTTACGAAAAATTTTTTTAACAGTTCCAAAAATATTTGATCATTGAACTACCCAGCAAAACGAAAAGCAACTGAGGGAGGAGGATATGCCGTCTCCAGAGATCGCGGTGAATGGTAACGCAACGGTTTGTCGGTTGGTCCGTGTTTCCGTCTGGGATAAAATGACCACTAGAGCTCAGTCGGCTGGAATTGATGTGACTAGGCCCAAACGTTAAGATCTTCTTTAATATGCCCAATGTTGCAACGACGTCGTTTGACTTTTGTGAGAAAGAGAAAATCAATACAACGTTTTTTCTTTTTACCAGAAGGCATCTTATGATGGAACAAATAAAAAAAAGGGAATTTCGTTTCATCTATAAATCTATTCATGCATTGCTCGTAATCATAGTTGTCATATTAACTTTGTTATTATATTACCTTCTTTTTCTTTTTTTGGCTTCACAATTTTAATTGAGCTTGGGAATAATGGTTACACACAATAGAAGTTTCAATATGTACCAAAAATTTCAGAATACTAAAACCTAAGAAAAGGAAATAAATATTTTAACTCTCATAAGGGGTTAATGGGTTATTGAGTGCACTACTGTTTATGTTATATATATAGATCCATATGAATTATGAGCCACAAAATCACAACCACTGCTTTATTGGTGCAGGCAGGGGCAGGGCCATGGACACTGCGCTAGCATCAGATTATTGTCCCACTGCCTGCCTTCAGTACATCTCTTCTTCTTCCGACATCATCCATCCTAACACTAACATCTGAGCTGTAATTGAATCCAGAAACTACAACTATTTGATTCATAATCTGATTCCCGTTCCCATAATTCTTACCCGTACAATAATTTGCCAGCAAGCCCTCTGGATGTGAAGAAAATAATAGAAAATCTTGTCCGCATTATCCAGTGACATTACCAAGTCATGCAGATTTACCCTTGTTTAAATTACGCTATATAAACGCATAATTAACCGCACCCTTGCTTAAGTCTATTGCATTTTAGTTAAATTAGACTTAAATTTGTGTAATGTACGGATAATAATTTTAATTTATAATAATTTTTTAAATAAAAAATGAAAATTTTTAATGCTAATGATTTATTAATAATAATAATAATAATAATAATAATAGATAAAAATAATTATATAAAAAATATTCGAACAAAGGGATTCTAAATAGCAGTAATACTCATTTAATCAATAAATATCTTTAAAATTAAAAGCAATAAAAATAAAATCAATAAAAAATTTGATTGGGAGATCATGATATATACAAATATTTGTATATATGAGTAGCAGTTTTTTTTTATTTGAATTGTAATTGAATTTTCATTTATATATTCTTCTGGGCTAATAATTAGAGACTTTTACCATATTCAAGCCGAAATTTATAATATCATTGAAAGTAAAATGTCATCAAATAAATTAATTTGGACAAAAATAGAAAAATTTTATCCACTATTAATTTACTTTGTAATTTTAATTTTTAAATGTTGGATTGTAATTATTTATGTTAAATAAATTGAATTGAAGTAAAACTTCTATATATGGAAGTAACAATTGATAATTAAAAAAATAAATATAATTAATTTAGTCAAAATTATTTTTAAAATAAATATGTATTAAATCAAATAAAGTGTACTAATAAAAAAACATGAGATACTAAATTAGATTATCCATATGTAAAAAAGATAGATCAATTACAAAATTAGATAATTTTTTATTTTATATACTACTATTTAAAAATTAGATTATTATTTATCAAAAAAATATTAAACTATTTTATTTTGAAAAACATTATTTTATAATTTTGATAAAATTATTTTTTAATGATAAAATATATTGTTACTATTCTTATAAAAAATTAAACCTATTAATCTCAATATATTTATAGACTTAATAATTTATTATGCACGCTTAATTTTTCTTTGCCAACCGTATATTTCAATATATTAAATGTAATAAAAATTCATATTTAGATTTAATTCTTTTTAAATTCAAATGATACTATATGTTTTTTTGGATTATAAGAAACTCAACTTATTCTAAATGTTTTTAAAAAAGTTTACACCCCTAAAAGTTTTGTACAAAAATTAATAGCATAGTAAAATGAATAAAAAATTACGTTGAATCAATATTTTTGAATTATTTGGTAAAAAAAACTATCATTTCCCATAGACCTTATAACACTTATCTTGTTACATAAATCAAAAAATTAAAACTAAAGAGTTATTTCTATTAATTTTCATTTACTTGGATGGTAATTAGTTGTAATTCACGTTAAATCATGAAAATGATAATATGAAAGTAGCAAATATAATATTGAATGACAAATTAAAAAAAAATCATATTAATAAGAAAAGAAATAAATTAATTCACTTCATATAAAAAATAAAATGCATTCTTGATACATATGATAAAACAAGTGATAAGTTATCACTTTCTTCTAATTTATCACCTAACTTACTCTTTTATTTCATGATAGAGTATAATGGGAATTTAGTATATAAATAAATATCATAACAAAACTAAAAAAAAAAGTACATAAATATATGTATAATTTAAACTATATTAGAACTAATATTAATAGCTAAAACTTAAAAAGAAATCCAAAATATTAAATTTTCAAAGAATTTCTTTTCAAAATCACTTTTTTCAAAAAAAAAATTGTACAACTATAATGAATAAGGTCTTAACACAAAATAATAATAATAATAATAATAATAATAATAATAATAATAATAATAATAATAATAATATAAAACCAAACATAATATAACATCACAAACAAAAGAAAAAAAAAAAGAACCTAAGTTAGGTTTACTGTATGATAAAAAGAATATCACAACAATGGGAAAAAACTATTATAGGGATGTAATTTATTTTTTAAGCATCCTAAAACACCTTTATTTATAAGATAGGTCGTGAAAATAATTATAGAATGATTTGTAATTTTTTAATGTCTAATTAATTAAAATGAATTTAAGAACCAAATCAAGATTAATAATAGTATTTTAAATTAAGAATAATTTATACTTGACAATTAAAATAATCAAACAAATTATGTATTTAACCTATTTGGGAGAAATGAAAAATTAAGGATCTTGAAATTAGTATAATAATGGTAATAAAATTTATTTCATTTGATATATTTCAAAATTAATTTTGATTGATTTGATCATCTATTAATCATTTTAAAATCAATACACACACATGCACGCACGCACGCACGCACGCACATACATACACATTAAACTTATACATAGCTTAAAAGGTGGAGTAAATAAATAGGTTAATAGATTAAAAAATTGGAAAGTAAATTTTTTTTTTTTTACATAAATGTAATTTAAGGGTTGAATATTATAATTGAAAAAAGAGAACACAAAATTATTTTATGATGATGGCAATTAAAGATTTATTATTTTCAAAATGAATTTAATTAAGAGTGATTTAAGATAAATAATAATAAAAAATAAATGTAATTAATTTAATTTTAAAAAAATAATTCAAATAAAGTAAATTATAAGACACTTAAAGTCGTCCACAATAATATAGGCCATTCATATTGAACATTTTCTTTTTTTTTCAAAATACTTTGGTTTTTATATATTTATATAAGGAGTTTTTGCCCATAAATGAGTACATTAAAATCTTTATTCTTAAATAGGGGTAGTTTTAATCTTTGTTCCTTGAATAAGGTGTTTTCAACTAATCAATGCCATATCATTGCTTACATAGTCAATATTAATTAAATGGCAGTTGAGCTTATTTTTTATTATTTTTTTTCAATTTTTTTTGTTTATCCGATAATTTTATCAAGAAACAAACACACTTCCAATCTGGTGTCATCCTCAAATATTCATCAACTAATTGAAAAATCCATTTAGCATCCACATGAAACAAAAGAAGAAAAACTACCCATAAATAATTTAAATTGATAAACTCTTAAACAAGCAATAATCCCAAAAGCCCTAAAAGATGTATATTAGGGTAATCAAATTCATTAATAATCTTATGATTACAAAAAAACAAAACTCTAATAATTAATCATAAACCTGCACTATACAAGCAATGGAAAATGAAAACCAATAGCTAAGAGCAGTTGATCGAATGAACATTAATAAGGCATTTTGAAATTTGAGAAATCCAAAAATATTCTCAAAAAGTTAAAAAGCATTTACAATTTTTCTAGCAAAAGAAATAACGAAAAAGGTAAGCTCTCCATACGCACATCCTAATTTCTTCCTATCACTCTCTAAATAAGGATTTTGAAATCTGAGAATACCCTTTATGGTCTTGTAGTAGAATTAAAGTATTGTTAGTGGGATACAAAAAGCAATTTACGAGAAGATGGCATTGAAAGCTGTTGCAGGTATAGTTTTGTTTCTCTTTTAGATTTTGTTGTCAGTTAATTATGTACTTTTTAAGTTTTTTTTATTCTATAGATTATATTTAGCTACTTTTGTTTTTTCAACAAGTTATATGCAGGAAGGGAGAAGGAAGAAGCAGAAGCAGTTTCTCACTTTCTCTAAAGTAAGAACTAGATGAAGTTTTGCAGAAAGTTACATGTGAAGAAAGGTTAATTCATTTACATGAGGTCTTTAAAGAATGGATGCAGCAACTACACTTTGTTGGAAAAGAACAGGAACTAAGGATTCATAATGCTATAACGAAGGCCTCAAAAAAGTTTGAGAAATCACAGACGATTTTAGAGGAGTAATTCATAGAGACTAGCAAAAGGCTTGCCAAATTAGGTGTTAAGTGTTGGGAATATTGACTCAAATCTCATAAGAGATTTGTTTGAGATTTGTTAGAGATTTGTTTGAGATTTGTCAGATATTGCTTGATGGATAAAAAGACTTGCAAAAAAAGAATTCTAAAAGAAAGAAGATTCTTAATAGGTAAGTTTGACTTGCAAGAGAAAAATCCTAAGGGAAAAGGGATTCTTAATAGGTAAGCTTGACTTACAGGAGAAGAATTCTAAGGGAGAGGGATTCTTAATGGGCAAGTTTGTATGGTTATAAATAGGTGAAGTCTCTACAAGGTTAGATATGAGAAAAAGATGTAAGAGAGTTGTAAGATTTTATGGGATAGACATCCCATAAGAATATTGGGGCTCTACGTCTTATAGGTGTGTATGTTTGTTTGTGAGTGGACTAGAGGAGATTGAGAGAGTGTACATAAGTATGGTGTATGGGAGCATATGGGTATGTGT